CCCGTCGCTGCCCGCCGCTGCCCCTTTGCAGCCTTTCGTGGCCCCCTCGCTGACGTTCGTGGCCCCGTTGCAGCCCTTCGTGGCCCCCTCGCTGCCCTTCGTGGCCCCGTTGCGGCCCCTCGTGGCCCCTTCGCTGCCCTTCGTGGCCCCGTTGCGGCCCCTCGTGGCCCCCTCGCTGCCTTTCGTGGCCCCGTTGCATCCCTTCGCGGCCCCCTCGCTGACTTTCGTGGCCCCGTATGTGTATGCCCTTCGGGGCCTCCGCTCGTTCGCGCTCGTCGTGGCCCCATGTGCATGCCCTTCGTGGCCCCGCTGTCGCCTTTCGCGGCCCACTCGCTGCCTTTCGTGGCCCCGTTGCTGCCCTCGGTGGCTCCGCCCTTGCCCTTCGCGGCCCAATATACGCATGCCCGTCGTGGCCCCCGCTCGTTCGCGCCCGTCGTGGCCCCATGTGCGTGCCGTTCGTGGCCCCGCTGTCGCCCTTTGCAGCCCCCTCGCTGTCCCACGTGGCCGAGCTGCTACCCTCAGTGACCCCGTTGTTGCCTTCTGTGGCCTGGCATTGTCTGCCCTTCGTGGCCCCCGCTCGTTCGCGTTCTTCGTGGCCCCATACGCATTCCCTTCGTGTCCCCGCTGTTGCCCTTCGTGGCCTACTTCGTGCCCTTCGTGGCCCTGCTGTCGTTCTCTCTCTCGCTCTCGCTTTCGCTCGTCGTCGTCGTCGTCGTCGCCGTCGTCGTCGTCGCCGCCGTCGTCGTGGTCGGTCCCCTGTCCGTCCCTCTTGGGGTCGGGTTGCCGCCAATCAGCGCTGCCGCTGGCCAGGCCGACGGTCCGCGGCCGCCCCGCCGCTTGCTGGGGCCCGGCCTGCAGGGAAACAAGGTCTGCCCCCCAACAGGGGTACGATCGAAGACGAAGAGGGCGGGTATCGAGGGGTTGGGAAATACGCGTTAACGGACATTCGCGCAGATAAAAGCGAACAGCCTTGAAGTTATTGTTGTTGTTGTTGTTGTTGGTGGTGGTGGTGTTGCTTTTACGCTGGACTAGCGCCCTATTGTCTTCAGCATTGGCGCCGCTCCCAGCAACAACAGCGGCCCTGCTCGAGACGTCCCCCCTTTCTATTCAGGGCCAGGTCCCCACCAAGGCAATATTGTCGCTAGATACTTCCTTGCGCGTTACCCTTGGCTGGGACTCCAATGGCGGTCTCGCATCGGCGCAGCAAGGCGCGGGCATGCGTTTTCGAGGCGGGATATGTTGAAATTCCTCGGAGAAATGTTTGCAAGACCTCATTGGGCGGGAGATCTGGGAATGGGAATAACGGACCCCGCTATCGAACAATAATCCCCCATGATGGGGATGTTTATCATGATGGTCGCATTCTTCGCGTGGAAACATCGCGCATGAGGGCAAACTGATTGTTTAATGCTATTTACCACCCAATTATTTTTGTTGGATTCCCCCAGGCGCTTTGCGGCTCTCGCCTCGGCGCCGGATACATTTTCATTGAAAATGAGATTCACGCTCGATCGTTTGGGGGGGGCGCGAAAAGCGGCCCTCCAACAACAACAACAACAAAAACAACAACAACAACAACAACAACAACAACAACAACAACGACGACGACGACGACGACGACGACAACAACAACAATCATTTTAATACTGTTCGATCTTATCTGCTCGAGTGTCCGTTAAAGCGTATTTCCCAAACCCTCGATACCCGCCCTCTTCGTCTTCGATCGTACCCCTGTTGGGGGGGTATACCGTTCTTCCCTGCAGGCCGGGCCCCGGCAAGCGGCGGGGCGGCCGCGGACCGTCGGCCTGGCCAGCGGCAGCGCTGATCGGCGGCAGCCCGACCCCAAGAGGGACGGACAGGGGACCGACCACGACGACGACGACAACGTTGACGACGACGTCGACGACGACGACGACGGCGACGACGACGACGACGACGACGACGACCACGACGACGAGCGAAAGCGAGAGCGAAAGAGAGAACGACCCCGGGGCCACCAAGGTCACGAAGTAGGCCACGAAGGGCGACAGCGGGGACACTAAGGGAATGCGTATGAGGCCACGAAGAACGCGAACGAACGGGGGCCACGAAGGGCAGATAATGTGGGGCCACCGAAGGCAAGGACGGGGCCACTGAGGGTGGCAACTGGGCCACGTAGGACAGCGAGGGGGCCACGGAGGGCTGCAACGGGGCCACGAAGGGCATGCACATGGGGCCACGACGGGCGCGAATGAGCGGGGACCACGAACGGCATACTATATTGGGCCGCGGAGGGCAAAGACGGGGCCACTGAGGGCGGCAACGGGGCCACGAAGGGCAGCGAGGGGGGCACAAAGGGCGACAGCGGGGCCACGAAGGGCATGCATATGGGGCCACGAAGAGCGCGAACGAGCGGGGGCCACGGAGGGCATATATATATATATATATATATATATATATATATATATATACATATATATACATATATATATATATGAGGCCACGAAGGGCAGTAAGACGGCAACGAAGGGGTGCAACGGGGCCGCGAAGGGCAGCGAGGCGGCCACGAAGGGCTGCAACGGGGCCACGAAGGGAAGCGAGGGGGCCACGAAGGGCTGCAACGGGGCCACGAAGGTCAGCGGGGGGGCCACGAAGGGCAGCAAGGGGGCCACGAAGGGCAGCGAGGGGGCCACGAACGGCTGCAACGGGGCCACGAAGGGCAGCGAGGGGGCCACGAAAGGTTGCAACGGGGCCACGAACCAAAGCGAGGGGGTCACGAAGGGCTGCAACGGGGCCACGAAACAAAGCGAGGGGGCCACGAAGGGCTGCAACGGGGCCACGAAGGGCAGCGATATCCCGATTCGTATGTAATCTGTGAAGGAGTCCTAAGCGTGAGCGCGACTCCTGGGTGCCTGGGTGTCGGGAGCGCGGCGCTTAAGTAAATTGCAAGAAATTCCAACGCAAGGGCGCTATTCTTCAATAGATGGCAAGCAAGTCTCCAACGAGAGCGCGACTCCAGAGCGCTGGGAGAGCGATTCCTGAATAAATTGTAAGGAAGTCCCAAGCGAGAGCGCGATTCCGGAATCAAATGCGGGGAAGTCTCGGGCGGGAGCGGGGGTCCTGGCTAAATTGTGAGGAAGTCTCAGGCGGGAGCCGCTGTTGTTGTAAACCGGGGGCCAACGACACAGTTTGACCCTCAAGACTTTCCCCGATAAAAAACAGGGTGCGAGCCCCGGGAAGGGCACTGACATCGAACAAAAATGATGTGCACCGGACGGGGGGGGCCAACTATAATTATTCTTCAGAAGGGAGAGTTCAACAACAATAACAACAACAACAACAACAACAACAACAATCATTTAAGACTGGGGACACTCCGTTCTCACCAGTGCCAGGGTTTTCATAGGGGGCGGGCAATGCCCCCACTTTGTGGGGGGGCCGGTTCAAGCTCTACCAAAATTCCATACGACTCTTCGCCACCACCCACACCCAGCTTCCCGCCCTATGACGTTCGGACACTTCACTTCGTGGCATGCGGACGACCGTGGCTACTATTCAGGGCCCCGCGGCCGACGACGACGGCGTGCGCGCGCGAAGAAAAAACGAATGTGTCCAATATGGTATTATTTGACAGGGATGATGGCCCTGGCATGCGCGCAACCGTTGTTGCAGAAGTTCGAAGCACGTGAAAAAGTTGCTCGCAAGAGCCCGTTTGACAGAAATGTTGAAAAAATATTGGGTTTCCTCAGAAATCCGCAAGAGCGCGCAAGATGAATGTTTGAAACTTTTTTTTTTTTTGAAAAACCATTGGGTTTTTCATGTTTTTATGTTAAAATCGCTACGAAAACTAAGGTTTTGGAAGGATTTCATCTTGCGCGCGCGAGTGTGCACTTCGTGTCATTTTTTTCAAAGGATTCTTGAAGTTTGGTTATGTTAGAACAAGAAATTTCATTTTATAGTGTTTTTTGCAAGGGAAAGCGGGCGTCAACAAAACAACCGGATCCGGACACCCACGTTTTGCCTGAGACTTCCTCACGAAAATGATGAAAATGTGGCTGCGGCCTAGGCGCGGCGAGGGGGGCGCGCACCAGGGGCCCCAACAATAATTATTCTTTAGAATAAATAATGTTCAACAACAACAACAATTACTAGCACGTGGGGACACTCCGTTCTCACCAGTGCCAGGGTTTTCATAGGAGGCGGGCAATACCCCCACTTTGTGGGGGGGCCGGTTCAAGCTCTACCAAATTTCCAAACGACTCTTCGCCACCACCCACACCCAGCTTCCCGCCCTATGACGTTCGGACACTTCACTTCGTGGCATGCGGACGACCGTGGCTACTATTCAGGGCCCCGCGGCCGACGACGACGGCGTGCGCGCGCGAAGAAAAAACGAATGTGTCCCGCATGGTATTATTTGACAGGGATGATGGCCCTGGCAGGTGCGCAACCGTTGTTGCAGAAGTTCGAAAAAGTTGCTCGCAAAAGCCCGTTTGACAGAAATGATTAAAAAGTGTTGGGTTTCCTACGAATCCGCAAGAGCGCGCGGGATGAAATTTTGACATTTTTGTTTTGAAAAACCATTGGTTTTTTGATGTTTTTATGTTAAAATCGCTACGAAAACTAAGGTTTTGGAAGGATTTCGTCTTGCGCGCGCGAATGTCCACTTTACCTTATTTTTTGCAAGGGATTCTTGAAGTTTGGTTATGTTAGAACAAGAAATGTCCACTTTAGCTTATTTTTTGCAAGGGAAAACCGATCGTAACAACACAACCGGATCCGGACTCCCCCGTTTTGCCTGAGACTTCCTCACGAAAATGATGAAAATGAGGCTGCGGCCTAGGCGCGGCGGGGGGGTCGTGCACCAGGGGCCCCAACAATAATTATTCTTTAGAAATAATAATGTTCAACAACAACAACAACTGCAACAACAACAATCATTTTAAGACTGTTCGCCCTTATCTGCTCGAGTGTCGAATAACGCGAATTTCCCAAGCCCTCGGTACTCGCCCTTCTCGTCTTCGATCGAACCCCTTTTGGGGGGTATATATTTCTTCCCTGCAGGCCGGGCCCCGGCAAGCGGCGGGGCGGCCGCGGACCGTCGGCCTGGCCAGCGGCAGCGCTGATCGGCGGGGCGGCCGCGGACCGTCGACCCGACCCCAATAGGGATGGACAGGGGACCGACGACGACGACGACGACGACGACGACGACGACCACGACGTCGACGACGACGGCAACGACGGCGACGGCGACGACGACGACGAGCGAAAGCGAGAGCGAGAGAGAACGACAGCAGAGCCACGAAGGACACGAAGTAGGCGACGTAGGGCGACAGCGGGGACACGAAGGGAATGCGTATGGGGCCACGAAGAGCGCGAACGAGCGTGGGCCACGAAGGGCAGATAATGCGGGACCACAGAAGGCAACGATGGGGCCACTGAGGGTAGCACCTGGGCCACGTAGGACAATGAGGGGGCTACAAACGGCGACAGCGGGGCCACGAAGGGCATGCACATGGGGCCACAAGGGGCGCGAACGAGCGTGGGCCACGAAAGGCATACGTATGTTGGGGCGCGGAGGGTACGGACGGGGCCACTGAGGGCTGCAACGGGGCCACGAAGGGCAGCGAGGGGGCCACGAAGGGCTGCAACGGGGACACGAAGGGCTGCAACGGGGCCACGAAGGGCAGCGAGGGGGCCACCAAGGGCTGCAACGGGGCCACGAAACAAAGCGAGGGGGCCACGAAGGGCAGCAACGGGGCCACGAAGGGCATCGAGGAGGCCACGAGGGGCTGCAACGGGGCCACGAACCAAAGCGAGGGGGTCACGAAGGGCTGCAACGGGGCCACGAAACAAAGCGAGGGGGCCACGAAGGGCTGCAACGGGGCCACGAAGGGCAGCGAGATCCCGATTCGTAGGTAATCTGTGAAGGAGTCCTAAGCGTGAGCGCGACTCCTGGGTGCCTGGGTGTCGGGAGCGCGGCGCTTAAGTAAATTGGAAAAAAATCCAACGCAAGGGCGCTATTCTTCAGTAAATTGCAAGCAAGTCTCCAGCGAGAGCGCGACTCCAGAGCGCAGGAGGAACGATTCCTGAATAAATCGTAAGGAAGTCCAGGCGAGAGCGCGATTCTTGAATAAAATGCGAGGAAACCTCGGGCGGGAGCGGGGGTCCGGGCTAAATTGTGAGGAAGTCTCAGGCGGGAGCCGTTGTTGTTGTGTAGCCCGGGGGCCAGGGGGCCAGTTTGAGCAGGAAGACTTTCCTTGACAAAAAACCAGGTGCGAGCCCCGGGGGGGCACTGCAATTGTGAAAAAAACCATGTGCACCGGTGAGGGGGGATCAACAATAATTATTCTTCAAGAGTGAGAGTCCAACAATCATTTTGAGACTGTTCGCCCTTATCTGCTCGAGTGTCGAATAACGCGAATTTCCCAAACCCTCGGTACCCGCCCTTCTCGTCTTCGATCGAACCCCTTTTGGGGGTATATCTTTCTTCCCTGCAGGCCGGGCCCCGGCAAGCGGCGGGGCGGCCGCGGACCGTCGGCCTGGCCAGCGGCAGCGCTGATCGGCGGGGCGGCCGCGGACCGTCGACCCGACCCCAAGAGGGACGGACAGGGGACCGACCACGACGACGACGACGACGACGACGACGACGACACAGAAAGCCCCAGGCACCTGGTGCCTGGGGCTTTCTGTGGCTCGTCTAAGAATCCACACACGGAGACAGGTGTTGGGTCTCGAGGCCCTCGTGGCGGCTCCTTAGCATCTGTAGGAGTCTGTTCGAAGGGTGTAGACATCTCGGAACGGCCCTTCTTGCAGAACTCTGGAGCCCTCAACGACCATTGACGGGCCCTCGATGCCCGTCTGAGAACCAGAAACGGCGAAAGGTGTTGGGCCTGGAGGCTCTCTTGGGAGCTCCATGGCAACTGTCGGAGCCTGTTCGGAGGCTCTAAAACATATCAGAAGAATCCTTCTTGAACAGCTCTTGGAGCCCTCTTGAGCTATTTGGGGTTCCTCTTGGGCCATTCGGGAGCCTTCTTGGGCCGTCTCGGGGGCCTCTCGGGCTATCTTGGGGCCATAGTGGGGGTCTGGGGCAGTCTGGGAGCCCGCTTTGGGCCACTTGAAGCTCTGGTAGGCCACCTGGGGCCGACTTAGGGGACCTCTTGGGGCGTCTTGGCGCGCTCGTCGGGGCCTCTTGGACCATTTTTGGGCGTTTGACGAAGACCTGGGGCCGCGTGCGGCCCTGATGGGTCCGCATAGGGAGAAGATGGGAAATCTTTGAAAAAAACACACGTTGCGTTTGCTTGTTTCTGGGCCTCGCGCGGCCGCCGTCGGAGTCCTCGTGGGCCATCGGTGGGGCCGCCTGGCGAGTCTTCGGGCCCTCCTGGGCCTCCGTGGCGCTCGCTCCGGGCCCTCCTGGGCCGCCCTGCCGCCCTCGGTCGTCCTGGGGGGGAGGAGGCGGAGGAGGAGGAGGAGGAGGCGGACGAGGAGGAGGAGGAGGAGGAGGAGGAGGACGAGGAGGAGGAGGAGGAGGAGGAGGAGAACGAGGACGAGGAGGAGGAGGAGGAGAATGCCAGAACTGTGCCGAGGTCGTCTGAAGTCGGTTTTCGGGCCACTGGGTTGCGGTAGCCCGCTGGCGCCGGCGTGGAGCGCCCAGAAGCGCGCGAGGTTCTCGCCCTCCTCGCCCCTGTCGCCCGCGCGCGGCCCAGAATTGTAATACCGATGACGTTGGGCTCCAGTCTCGCCTCCAGCATCTCACGCAGCAGGCTCAAAGCCCGCTGCCACTGCTCACCTTTTTCGCACGCGCTGATCCCGGCGTTGTAGCAGAGGACGTCGGGTTCCAACTTCGCTTTCCACATCTCGCAGAGAAGCGCAAGAGCCGGCTGCCACTGCTTACCCTTCTCGCACGCGCTAATCCCAGCGCTGTAACTGAAACTATCGGGCCTCGCCTTCGCCTCCGCCATCTCGCCGAGCAGAAAGAGCGCCCGCTGCCACTGCCTGCCTTTCTCGCACGCGCTAATCCCTGCGCTGTAGCTGACTAGGGCGAACCCGTGGACTTCGTCCACGTCATCTTGGGCCGGTCTTGGCTCGAAAAGGCCGTCTTGGGCCTCTTCGCTCGAAACGGCGACAAAATGGAAATCTTGCAAACGCCAGAAAAAATCAATGATTTTGCCGCGGCTCGTCTGGAGCGTCTTCAAACTGTCTTGGGCCGTCTCGGAGGCCCTCTTGGACCGCTTCTTTCTCTCTGTCCGCCTTCCGCTCTACCTCCGCCTAGACAGCCTTCGGAGCGTCACAGAAGACTATGGTGGGTCTGCGGTGTACGTCTCGCCGCTTGTCAATTTTGAAAGCACCTGAGGCCTTGAAATAACTCACTGCGTGGAGCTCCCCATATGTGAATCTCATGTTTTGCATTGCGCCGTAGTGAGCGTCTGTTCATGAGTGTCTGACTGTAAGAGCGCACCCATGTGGGCGACAGGCCCGACGAAGACAAGTGAACCCTCACGCCAGCGAGTGAGTACGAGTCAGAATGAGCTTTGGGTGTGATTGAATATGAGCCTCTTCCTCCTCACTCCTCCTCCTCCTCAGCTGCCAGGCCGTGCCCTCCTCAGCCCGCGGTTGCTTCGGATCTCCTCGAATGTGTACCTGTTTCAAGATAGTTGGCAGTGGGATCTGTAAAACGAACATTTAGCCACATAAGGCCACATGTGCATGTCATGTTGTAGGATAGTGCCACGGTGAGCATTTATCTATGATAGTTGTTTGCTCTACGAGCGCGTCCATGTGAGCGACGAACACGTGTGCGCTCAGCGCGGCTGCACATCCATCGCATGCACGCATTCATTCACATGCATATGCCCGCGCATCTTTTTGTCAAGGCAAAGAATTTCCTTAGCGCCGCGTCCGAAGCACCAGGGGGAGTGCGAATGGCAAGTGCTTCAGACGGCACCTCGCGACCTGCACCTCAGCTTTACCGTCCGCAATTGGCATCCGGTCTTCACCTCGGGCGCAGCAATGTTTTGCAAAAGCCAACGCCGGCGCCGTCCACGCTGGGCTTCTAACGCTGGCATGGGCAAAAGACTCGTTGATAATGGAAAACCCACAGGGAATTCAAACGTGTCAACGCCAGCGCCGTCCACGCTGGGCCTCTGTCGGTGGCATCGAATAGGCACTACATGCACATGGAAACACGAAGAGAAAACTAATGCCATCGGGCAACCGTACAAAGGTTATTAGCCTGCGCCGTCCGCACTCGGTTTCGGGCGCTGGCGTAAACACAAGTGCAGCGGCGTTGGGGTTAAGACAGAACCGCGCCAGGACGAGTAAGTCTGTGTATGAGTACGTATGGGTATGAATAAGTCTGAGTATGAGTAAGTCTGTGTATGAACAAATTTGTGTATGTGTACGTCTGGGTATGAATAAATCTGAAACCAACGCCCCGATTGACACATCCTCCAACTCTGCTGTAATCGCAAACGGTGTTGGGCACCGAAACGGGCAAACCGCCTGAGACATGCCCACAAACTGGCCGCGAATGGGCCCGTGATATACCCGCTGGCGGCTCCCCTGAGGAATGCTGAAACCAGCGCCCCGACTGTGACATAATCCAAATCTGCTGTAATCGCAAACGATGTTGGGCACCGAAACAGGCAAACCGCCTGAAACATCCCCACAAACTGGCCGCGAACGGGTCCGTGATATACCCCCTGGCGGAACCCCTTAGAAGTGCTGAAACCAGCGCCCCGACCGGCACATCCTCCAAATCTGCTGCATTCGCAGACGATGTAGGGCACTGAAACAGTCAAACCGCGTGAGACATCCCTACAAACTGGCCGCGAACGGGCCCGTGATATACCGCCTGGCGGCTCCCCTTAGGAGTGCTGAAACCAGCGCCCCGCTTGAGACATGTTTTGAAATCTGCTGTAGACGCAGACAATGCTGGGTACCGAAACTGGCAAGCCGCCTGAGACATCCCCAATCCCCACAAACTTGCCGCGAGCGGGCCCGTGATATACCCCCTGGCGGCTCCCCTTAGCGGTGCTGAAGCCAGCGCCCCGCCTGAGACATCCTCAAAGCATGCCGTGTGTAAAGTAACTCAGACTATGAGAAGATCCGAATCTGTGTAGGTCTGAATATGAGTAGGTCTGTGTATGAGTACGCCTGGGTATGAGTAAGTCTGAGTATGGGTAACTCTATGTATGAGTAAATATGTGTATGTGCACGTCTGGGTATGAGTAAATCTGAAACCAGCGCCCCGACTGGCACATCCTCCAAATCTGCTGTAATCGCAAACGATGTTGGGCACCGAAACAGGCAGACCGCCTGAAGCATCCCCACAAACTGGCCGCGAAAGGGCCCGTGATATACCCCCTGGCGGCGCCCCTTAGCGGTGCTGAAGCCAGCGCCCCGCCTGAGACATCCTCAAAATCTGCCATGCGTTGAGCAGCTCAGACTATGAAAAGGTCTGAGTGTGTGTAGGTCTGAGTATGAGTAAGTCTGTGTATGAGTAAGTCTGGGTATGAGTAAGTCTGAGTATGAGTAAGTCGGTGTATGAGTAAGTCTGTGTATGTGTACGTCTGGGTATGAGTAAGTCTGAGTATGAGTAGGTCTGAGTATGAGTAAGTCTGAGTATGAGTAAGTCTGTGTATGAGTAAGTCTGTGTATGAGTAAGTCTGAGTATGAGTAAGTCTGTGTATGAGTACGTCTGGGTATGAGTAAGTATGAGTATGAGTAAGTCTGTGCATGAGTAAGTCTGTGTTCTGGGTGTGTTCTTGGTCTCTGGAGTCGGCGGCGTCCAAGAAATAACAAGAAGCCCATCTTAGGATATGGGGAAAAAGTCACCCTGAAGGCTCTGGTGACTTTTTTCCGGTTGCCTCTTCGAAGCCTGATGAACGGCGCTGCCGTCTCCTTGGGAACGGTTAGTGGGCCTCCCGGGGTGTCTTTTCGAGCTCCTGGGGGCCTGTTGGGGCCTCGTTGGCTGTCTTGCTGCCTCCTAGGGGCCTCTTGGGGCCCTCTTAGGGCGTCTTGCGGCCTCCTGGGGGCCTTTTCTCTTGAAGTGTTTTTGGGCGCCTCTGGGGCCGTTCCCGGGCTGTCCCCCCGAGCCTCCTCCGGGGGACAGCCCAGGAAATCTATTGTGCTTGCGTGCTGTGCGTGCGTGCTCCTGTGTGAGGGGTCGGAAGTGTGTCCCGACGTCACCGCTCGCTCTTGGGAGCTGTGCCTGGGAGAGCTCTCTACGCTGCGTCTCGCTCTTGGGAGCCTTGATGAGAAGAGCTTTGTACTTCACCGATCGCTCTTTTAATGGGCGTCTCTGGGCCTGCTTGATGGTCTTTGTGGGGGTCTTGTTCGGGCCATTCTGAGGCTTGTTTGGGCTGCTCTGGGAGCGCTTGGAGCTCTTGGAGCCGGGACCAGGCCGTCACGGGGCGTCCGGGAGGCCTTGGACCGTCTTGGAGCTCTCTTGAGGCTGCCTGAGGCCGTCTTGAGAGCCTCTTGGTGCCCCCTCGGAGCTCTCTTGGGGCCCTCTTGGGGTTCTGTGAGGCCGTTTCGAGGCTCTCTGGCGTCGTCTTGGGGCTCTTGTGGACCGTCTTGGAGCCCTTTTAGGGGCCGCTGGCGTCTTCTTGGGGCGATTTGGGAGGCCTCTTGGCGTGTCCTGGGCTGCTGAGGAGCGGACAAGGCGGGCATGCTGAAAATATAAGTTTTTTCCCATCGGAATTTGACGATTTGTGCCTCTTTGGCGTGCGCTCGGGGCCCTCTTGCGGCGTCTTTGCGGCCTCTTGGATCGTCGTAGAGCCTCCCCTGGAAGGCTTCGGGCCCTCGTGAGCCGTCTCGGGACCCACTGCGGCCGTCTTGGAGCGCTCTTCGACTGTCTGGGAACCCCTCTGGAGCGCCTCTGGGACCGGCCTGAGCGATTCGGCCCCATGGTGGCGCCGTAAAGGGGCGATTTTGTGCACACGAGGCCCTGAGACATTCTCGCACGCGCTTCCACTGGCCATGTAGAAGAGACTAGGGCTGACCCGTGGATTACGTCCACTCGCGGGGGGAGGGGTAGTGCCGCCAGGCGCATTCAATTACGTTGGGCGCCACGTTGGCTTACCATGTCTCGCTGAAAAGCTGACCTCCTGCGACGAGACGCTCCTGGAGCCGTTGAGAGCGTGAGGACAAAATTTAACGCCTGGGCAGTGTGTTAAATCTGTCCGCGGCAGGCCGGAGGCCTGAGCGATGGATCCCGGGAGCCGCGGACAAAATTCAACACGCCACCCTTGCGTTAAATGTTGTCCTCAAGCCAAGGGGGCGCGGGATCCTCACGTTAAAGATCGGTCTCGGGCCCAGACCCCGCGTCAAATTTCGCCCTCGAGCGGTCATGCTTCGCACCGTGGCGGCCTTGGTGGGCTTCCATGGGCTCGGGTCGGAGCCGTCGTAGGCGGCGTCGGGAGGCTCCTGGGGCGTCTTGGGGCGATCCTTGAGGGTGTCTGGGGCCGTCTGGAGCCATTCCGGGGCTCCCTGCGGGCGTCGTCAGCGGCCAGAGCCTGAACAAAAGCTGGAAGGGTGAGATCTTTCAAAAACTGGAAGGAAATGCATGGTTTTGGCCTCGTCGGAGTGTCGCTGGAGCCCTCGGATTTCGAGAATCGGGCGACACGGCGCGTCCGTTTGTGCCAGAGGGTAAGACTCAACGCCTGGGCAGCGTGTTAAATCTTGTCCGCGCCAAGGCCAGGGCCTCAGCGCTCGGCCTCTAGGGACGCGGACAAAAAACAATACGCAACGTTCGCACGAAATCTCGCCCTCGGGCGAAGAGGGCGCGCTGAATTTCGTCCTCGAGCTCGCCGGAGGCGCCCGGGGGCGTTTTCCCGGGTTTTGATTGACGGGCCCTTCTCGCACGCACGTATGCCTGCAGTGTAGATAAGAAGACTACTGTGAACCCGTGGATTGAATCCACGGTGTGCTGAACCTGGGACTCGGGCGTCCCTGGGGCCGTGTCGGGGGCATGTTGGGCTCTCCTGAGAGCCTGTCTGGGGCGCCTTAGAGGCCTCGTGCGGGTTTTAGGTGCCTATGGGACCGTTCCCGGGCTGTCCCGCAGAACCTCTTGTGGGGGGCAGCCAGGGAAACTTTTTGTGCCTGCATGCTGTGAGGTTGCTGTCAGGTGGTCCCCACGGTCACCCCTGAGTTTACCCGCAGGGTTTCCAGCAAGCTCCAGAAGCCGGGGCTGGAGGCGGTCTTCGAATATCCTGGGGGGGTCAGTGCCATCTCGGAGTGGTTCAGGGAGGGGACTTGTGGTCTTGGGGCTGTCTTGGGGACCACCGAGGGCTCTACTCGGCCGTGGGGGGGGAGCGAGATGCTGGTCCCCGCAGTGTCTGCAGGCCCCCCCCCCTCATGTTACCCCTAATCGCCCGTAGAGGGGGAGCGACCGAAGTGGCTGCAGGCCCCTCATGTCGCCCCCAACAGGCGGAGTGGAGGCCCCAGAGCGGCCAGAGCCTCGAAAAGAGAGAAGGGCAGAGATCAGAGGAGAAGGTCCCCCTTGTCACCCCTAATCGGCCGTAGGGGGGAGGTCTCGACGGTGACTCTGGGCCATCTCGGAGCGGTCCTGGGATCGCTCTTGGGAGTTCCGTGGGAATTATGGGAGTCTCTTCCTAGGACCGCTCTTGGGAGCTCTGTGTGGGAACTGTCGGAGTCTCTTGGCAAGCGTCGGAGTCTTGTGGGCGACCCTGGGGAATCTAGGAGTGGCCTGTGATCGCTCTCAGGAACTCTGTGGGGACTATCGGAGTCGGCGAGGCTCTGGGGCTTCTCGGAATGGTCTGGGGCCTGTCTTGGGAGTATGGGGCTTTCTCGGGTGCGTGGGGTTCGAGAGACGGCGAAAGGGCGCCGTGGCTCGAGGCAGTCTCCTTGGGAGCTCCTTGGGAACCATCGGAGTCTCTTGGGAGACTCTGGGGCATGTTTGGGAGACTCTGGGGCATGTGGGAGTGGTCCTTGGAAGGTTCTTGGCCCACGTGGGGGCGCGGGAAGGGCGTCGTCTGGGCTCCCTTCGGCCCCTCTTTGAGCCCTCGTGGGGGTCTCTCCGGAGCCTTTGGGGGCCCTCTTGGCCTATTTCGGAGCTTGCTTGGGCCGTCTCGCAGGCCTCTTAGGCCGTCCTGGGGCCATGCAGGGGGTCTCGGGCCGTCTTGGAGTTCGCTTTGGTGCCTGTTGGGCAGATCCCAAGACCCTCTTTTGGGGCTGTCTTGGCGGCCACCAAGGGCTCTATGAGGCTGTCTGGGGGGCCTCTCTTGGGTAGTCTTCGGGCCCTCTAGGGCCGTCTTGGCCCTGCTGCCGTCTGGGGCCGTTCTTGGCCCGAAATGCTGAGAATATGGAAAATCTCAAAACTATAAGAAAATCCATGATTTTGGCCTCGGGGGACCATCATCGGGGTCCAGTTCAGGTGTTTTCCGAGTCACCTGGCCCGTCGTCGAGCCGCCTTAAGGCTGTTATAGAGCTCCGTTGGGGCTCTCTTGGAACGTCCTCGCGCCCTCCGGAGCGTCTCGGAGCAATATTCGAGCTGCCCGAGGCAGTGTTGTAGCCACCTGGGGGCTCTCGGGAGCCGTCCGAAAGTGGCGGAACGCTCCCAGCTCCCAGGCGGTCATGGGCAGCTGGCGCACTGCGGGCGCAACTCGCACGCGGGGCTCCGATTGGGTCCTGGTGGGCCGTCCTCGCGCGCTGCAGAGCGTCTCAGAGCTGTCTTGGGGCTGTCAGAAGCCGTATTGGGGCCACCGAGGGGCTCTGTGGAGCCGTCGGAGAGCGTCAGGGCGCTTCGGGCGTCGGGGGCAGCTCACTACAGCCTGTTTTTCACGCGCAACGCCCAGAATTGTAGTACAGATGACGTCCGGCTCCAGCTTCGAATCCCTCATCTCGCTGAGCAGCGCCAGAGCCCGCTGCCATTGCCCGCGCTTCTCACACGCGCTCATCCCAGCGTTGTAGGCGATGGCGTCTGGCTTACACTTCGCGTTTCGCATCTCGCTCATGAGGGCCAACGCTCGCTGCCACTGTTTGCCTTTCTCGCACGCACTGATCCCAGCGTTGTAGGTGACTAGGGCGAACCCGTGGACTTCGTCCACGTCATCTTGGGCCAGTCTTGGCTCGAAAGGCCGTCTTGGGCCTGTCTTCGATAGAAATGACGAGAAGGTGGACATCTTTCAGAAACCATTATCCCGGCAAAGCAACCTAACAGCGATGTGTAGGAGCATATCTGGAAGCATTCCCCTTAATATTCAGATGAGAATCCAGTTGTAGAATTCTGCTGTTCTCGCAGTCGTAGTCGCATTCGCGATGACAGTCGCAGTGGCAACGGCAGTCGCAGTCACAGCCTCAGCCTCAGCCTGCCTCAGCCTCAGCCTCAGCCTGCCTCAGCCTCAGCCTGCCTCAGCCTCAGCCTCAGCCTGCAGCCTCAGCCTCAGCCTCATCAGCAGCCAGCCTCAGCCTCAGCCTCAGCCTCAGCCTCAGCCTCAGCCTCAGCCTCAGCCTCAGCCTCAGCCTCAGCCTCAGCCAGCCTGCATCAGCCTCAGCCTCAGCCTCAGCCTGCCTCAGCATCAGCCTGCCTCAGCCAGCCTCAGCCTGCCTCAGCCTCAGCCTCAGCCTGCTTCAGCCTCAGCCTCAGTCTGCCTTCAGCCTCGGCCTCAGCCTCAGCCTGCCTCAGCCTCAGCCTGCATCAGCCTCAGCCTCAGCCTCAGCCTGCCTCAGCATCAGCCTGCCTCAGCCTCAGCCTCAGCCTGCCTCAGCCTCAGCCTCAGCCTGCTTCAGCCTCAGCCTCAGTCTGCCTTCAGCCTCGGCCTCAGCCTCAGCCTGCCTCAGCCTCAGCCTGCATCAGCCTCAGCCTCAGCCTCAGCCTGCCTCAGCATCAGCCTGCCTCAGCCTCAGCCTCAGCCTGCCTCAGCCTCAGCCTCAGCCTGCTTCAGCCTCAGCCTCAGTCTGCCTTCAGCCTCGGCCTCAGCCTCAGCCTGCCTCAGCCTCAGCCTGCATCAGCCTCAGCCTCAGCCTCAGCCTGCCTCAGCATCAGCCTGCCTCAGCCTCAGCCTCAGCCTGCCTCAGCCTCAGCCTCAGCCTCAGCCTCAGCCTCAGCCTCAGCCTCAGCCTCAGCCTCAGTCTGCCTTCAGCCTCGGCCTCAGCCTCAGCCTGCCTCAGCCTCAGCCTGCATCAGCCTCAGCCTCAGCCTCAGCCTGCCTCAGCATCAGCCTGCCTCAGCCTCAGCCTCAGCCTCAGCCTGCAGCCTCAGCCTCAGTCTGCTCAGCCTCGGCCTCAGCCTCAGCCTGCCTCAGCCTCAGCCTGCCTCAGCCAGCCTGCCTCAGCCTCAGCCTCAGCCTGCCTCAGCCTCAGCCTCAGCATGCTTCAGCCTCAGCCTCAGTCTGCCTTCAGCCTCGGCCTCAGCCTCAGCCTGCCTCAGCCTCAGCCTGCATCAGCCTCAGCCTCAGCCTCAGCCTGCCTCAGCATCAGCCTGCCTCAGCCTCAGCCTCAGCCTGCCTCAGCCTCAGCCTCAGCCTGCTTCAGCCTCAGCCTCAGTCTGCCTTCAGCCTCGGCCTCAGCCTCAGCATGCCTCAGCCTCAGCCTGCATCAGCCTCAGCCTCAGCCTCAGCCTGCCTCAGCATCAGCCTGCCTCAGCCTCAGCCTCAGCCTGCCTCAGGCTCAGCCTCAGCATGCTTCAGCCTCAGCCTGCATCAGCCTTCAGCCTCGGCCTCAGCCTCAGCCTGCCTCAGCCTCAGCCTGCCTCAGCCTCAGCCTCAGCCTGCCTCAGCCTCAACATCAGCCTGCCTCAGCATTCAAAAGGTGGCCCGGGAATGCAGTTCTGGGAACTCGAATTACACGAAGTGGCCTACAGTTGGCTTCGGGCATTCAAAATCATGCCCAGGAATGGAGTTCTGGGAACTCGAAGACCACGAAGTGGCCTACAGTTGGCTCCGGGCATTCAACAGCATGCCCAGGAATGGAGTTCTGGGAACTCGAAGACCACGAAGTGCGTTACTGTTGGCCAAAAAAGGAGTCCCCAGTTTTCCGCGGCACCCGCCCTGATCCCGCCCAGACCCCCCTGGGGAGTCATGATGCTCTCCTTTGACCCTACTAGAAACCTATCAGTCTTCGCTGTTAGGTAGTAGAAGAATCAATGATTTCGTTCGCCGCGGTCTGTCTGGAGCGTCTTCGATCGATCTTGGGCCGTTTCGGAGGCCCTCTTGGACCGCTTCCTTCTCTTCGTCCGCCTTCCGCTCTACCTCCGCCTAGACAGCCTTCGGAGCGTCACAGACGGCTATGGTGGGTCTGCGGTGTACGTCTCGCCGCGTCTCAATTTTGAAAACACCTGGGGCCCCGAAAAAAGTCACCCTGAGGGCTCTGGTGACTTTTTCCGGTTGCCTCTTCGAAGCCTGATGGCGGGCGCTGCCGTCTCCTTGGGAACGGTTAGTGGGCCTCTCGGAGTTTCTTTTCGAGCTCCTGGGGGCCTGTTGGGGCCTCGTTGGCTGTCTTGCGGCCTCCTAGGGGCCTCTTGGGGTCCTCTTGGGCCGTCTTGCGGCCTCCTGGGGACCTTTTCTCTTGAAGTTTTTTGGAGCGCCTCTGGGGCCGCTCCCGGGCTGTCCCCCCGAGCCTCTTCCGGGGGACAGCCCAGGAAATCTATTGTGCTTGCGTGCTGTGCGTGCGTGCTCCTGTGTGAGAGGTCGGGTGTCCCGACGTCACCGCTCGCTCTTGGGAGCTGTGCCTGGGAGAGCTCTCCACGCTGCGTCTCGCTCTTGGGAACCTTGGTGAGAAGAGCTTTGTACTTCACTGATCGCTCTTTTAGTGGGCGTCTCTGGGCCTGCTTGGTGGTCCTTGTCGGGGTCTTGTTCGGGCCATTCTGAAGCTTTTTTGGGCTGCTCTGGGAGCGTTTTGGAACGTTTTGGAGCCTTTTTGGGCTGTCACGGGGCGTCTGGGAGGCCTTGGACCGTCTTGGAGCTCTCTTGAGGCTGCCTGAGGCCGTCTTGGGGGGCTCTTGGGGCCCCCTCGGAGCTCTCTTGGGGCCGTCTTGGGGCTCTGTGAGGCCGTTTCGGGGCTCTCTGGCGTCGTCGTGGGGCTCTTGTGGGCCGTCTTGGAGCCCTCTTAGGGGCCGCTGGCGTCTTCTTTGGGCGATTTGGGAGGCCTCTTGGCGTGTCCTAGGCCGCTGAGGAGCGGACAAGGCGGGCATGCTGAAAATATATGTTTTCCCAAAGAAATTTGACGATTTGTGCCTCTTTGGCGTGCGCTCGGGGCCCTCTTGGGGCGTCTTTGCGGCCTCTTGGATCGTCGTGGAGCCCCCCCCGGAAGGCTTCGGGCCCTCGTGGGCCGTCTCGGGACCCACTGAGGCCGTCTTGGAGCGCTCTTTGACGGTCTGGGAACCCCTCTGGAGCGCCTCTGGGACCGGCCTGAGCGAGTCGGCCCCGTGGTGGCGCCGTAAAGGGGCGATTTTGTGCACACGAGGCCCTGAAACATTCTCGCACGCGCTTCCACTGGCCATGTAGGAGAGATGACATTGGCCTCCAGCGTCGCCTCCCGCATCTCGCTCAGCAGCGCCAGCGCATGTTGCCATTGCTCGCCTTTCTCGCACGCGCTGACACCAGCGCTGTAGCTGACCGGGGCTGACTCGTATAGACTACTGTCCACGGAATCTGCCCAAGCTGGAGGCCGTGCTGAGGACTCTGTGCCGTATATTGGGGGCGTCTTAGGGACGTCCTGAGCCGTCTTGGGGTTCTCTGGGGGCCTGATGGGCGCCCAGCCGCCAGGGCGCTGCTAGCCAGCGCCGATGGACACGGCGCCGGCGGGCGCCGCGCTTGGTCGCCGCCGCGGGCCCCCTTCCCGGGCGCGGGGGGTTGTCCTGGCATGTGCCGACTTCCTCCTCCTCCTCCTCCTCCTCCGCCGCCTCCTCCGCCTCCTCCTCCTCCTCCTCCTCCTTCTCCTCCGCCGCCTCCTCCTCCTTCTTCTCCTGCCCCATCCTCCTTTGCTCGCCCCCAAGCGACCTCCAGAGATGGCCGAGCTCTGTTTGACGGTTTCTGGAAGGCCTCCACGGGCCTCTAGAGGCTTCTGGGGGGCCTTTTGAAGCCGCTTGGGGCCTCTTGGGGGCCCTGTCGGGCCGCTTTGGGAGTCAATTCCAGCGTAGCAATGTGAAGGAAAGGATGTACATGGGCGGTCAGCACAGGAACAATGGGAGACGATGGTAGAGTGAGGAGCGAGAAGCGAGCGCAGCTTGACAGGTCTCGGCGCGCGCGCGGCCGAACACATGGTCTCCTCTCAGGTCGCTTACAGGGCCCTCGCGGGCCGACTTGGAGACTTTTTCGGCGCCTTCTCGCGGAATTCTTGGGCTCCCTTGGCGCCCTGCCGCGCCTCCTGGAGCCGTTGTGGGGGGGGGGTCTGGGAGCGCCCGGAGGGTGCCGTCTTGGACGGTCTCGGGGCCGCCTGGGGCCACCTTAGTCTTCGTGGGAATCTGCAGGCGGTCTTCGGGCGGTCTCAGGCCGTCTTGCGGCCACCTTCGAGGCTAGCGAGGTCAATGCTGGGGACACCTCCAAGCGGGTTTCGATATCCGTAACCGACGCGTAGACATTGGTGAGAACACGAGGCAACCCTGAGGAATTTCGTAGGCATCGCAAGGTCTGGTCCACCGCGGCATCCTCCCGTGGCGTCTTGGGGGCCTGTGGGGCAGCCGGAGGCCCTCCGAAGGCTCCGCATGGCCGGACACGAACATCCGATGCCTCGATCTGTTCAAGACGGGGCCCCCAGAAGTCACGACCCTTTCCCCAGGTCGGCGGCGAGCGAGGGGGGGAGTGAGAAGAAACTTCTCAGAAGGCCTGCCTTTCGAGAAGTGTTCTGCGTCTTCAAGGGAGGGCTTGGAAAACTTCTCAGAAGACTGGGGAACTTCCAAGCCTTCTGAAAAGGCCCACCCATTCTCATTTCCCCCCCGGGCTGGCCACCGAGAAGGACCAATTTTTCATCCTGGGCCGTTTTTGACGGCCCCCGTGGAAGGCCCCAGGAAGTCTAAAAACGGCCAAAGACCTTTCGCTGTGACATGTTCACGAGGGGAT